TAGGAATGAGAATCCAGTTTGTGAAGTGTAAAGTGTTTTCTAAGAAGTGACAGAAAACATATAGTCAGTGGTTCAGATTATGTGGCATTACAGTCTAGGACGTGGAGGACTGGACGTGTCTGTAGTGTTTCCTCAGTGAGGAGTTCTGACAAGGTGGCCTCAGTTTGTTCTGATGATTCTATCAATCCAGACTAATGTTGTGCTGCGTGTTGTTGTGGTGGGAGGCTGCTGTGTGTGTTTCAGTGAACAGACCCGAGTTAAGCTTTAACTTCTGCTCTGGATCTCTTACACTGAATGTACACAACACAACACAACGTGCTTCTGTGTCGTGTGTTTTGCTGGTCAGACTGTAATATGTTTTGTGTGTCGTTATTAAAGAGGCAGCGTGTGTCTGTGTTAAGTTGAGACTATCACCAGTTGATCTGGGCGTGTTTCCTGAGTAATCACTAGGTGTTAAACACCTGACAGAATAGAAATGATCTATAGGAATGAGAAGGGCTCTTAATCGAGCTGATTGGTGGCACAATTAGTAAATCGCCGAATTTGCACTTTTGNCAGTCAGTACAGATGAATCTAGACACAATAAACTGTTGAAGTTGTTTGTCTTGGTGGTGAATTTGGAAATTACTGTTCATTGAAAAGGACTTTAAAGAAGAATGTCAATCTGACACACCTGAGGTGTAAAAACATCCATGAAGCCTGACTCATGACTCGGTACAGTTCAATGTTCAATGTTGTCATAAAAAAAACAACCACCAAGATGAGTTTTGTTTGGCACTGTGTCACAGGAGGTGTGTTCAGTGTCTTCATGGCAGTTTGCAGAAGGAAACTTTTGAAGGTCAACTTTAAATTGAAAAAGAAACAGAAGTCTGTTTGTGCTCCTCACTGACAGTTTACACATAAATGAGTGTTTAAGTGTCTGAGATTTATTTATTAAACCATTTATCTCAAAAGTAATGAAATGAAATGAAAAAATGAAAAATACTTTATTTATCCCAGAAGGGAAATTCAATAATAAAGTGTTTCTAGAAGTTTAAGCTGCTGGCATTTCACAGAATGGGAGTGGTTGATAAGAAATCTATGATATAAAGTCATAAACAAGGTTCATCCACCGGAATGAATGTGTGTGAATCAATAATTGAAAGAGTAAAGTGTCTCTGAGTGCCTACAAAGCTTATATAAATCTGATTAATTATTATTCTTATCATCCAGACGCTCCCTTAAATGTGGAAAGTGTCCTTCCAGGCAGCATTCACACAACAAAACTTCACTTTCTATGGAGCTCTCAAAAGGACACAACTGTTGGTTGTTTTCTAAAAAAGAAAGTCTGGCAGCATTAGTGCCAGGATAAACACATGTACCAACACTGTGAAAATACCAACAAATATCTGTCAAAGAATTTTATTTTTTAGCAGATTTAAATACAGTCAGCCTGGTGTTACAGTGACACATTGTAGAAAAATAAATTACTTTTGGTGAAAACAGAGCTTCTTTAATGTTGACATTATGAACAGTTATATGTAAATTATTACCTTTTTCTTTATTACTGATCATTAGGATGTAGGAGGGACTCTGATGTTACAGTTATTGGAGGTGGAGCTCATTGTAACTGCTTCTCAATAATAATTCATCAATATTTCCAGGTGAAGTCTGGAGCAGTACAAAGCAGCAGCAGGTGAGGGTAAAATACCTCATCTCTGTGCCGTACTCGAGTACTCCGTTACTTTCCACCTGTGGACTGGAGTTGATGACGCCAGACCAGCGGCAGTGGAAACATGATGTCAGAGCGCCGCCTGCTGGTGGTCTGCTGCTACTGCAGCTGTTTCACAGCTCCTCTGTCAAACACCAACATGGACACTTTGTGTCACTGAACCAAAGTTAGAGGCAGGAGCAGCAGCCCGAGATGTGCTGTCCAAACATTAAACTGTCATTTTACAAGATGGAGATGCAACAAAACCCTGAATCTGACCTCCAGCGATGAACTAGTGTCTCATCAGTTTAACTAAACAGTTCAGTGTCTGTAATAATCAGAAACACAAAACAAAGAAACACAGAGACCGACTGCTGAGAACTTCAAACTGGGAGACAACAAAACTCCCCCGACCCATGAAGACTCTGGATTATTCTATGAAATAACTTCTGTTGGCTGCTTTGAGTCTTACTTTCTTTACAGGACTAAAAGAAATAATTCACTCTAGTTCAGTCTCGTTCCTGTTTGGCTGGAGAGTTTTTATTCTCTCTGTGAGTTTGATCAACATCAAGTCTGTTAAAGAGACTAAAAACCAGGTGTGTTGTCTCCTTGTAACAATTCACATTAATTCCAAGATGACAGCGTCACAACGCACCATGTAAAGGAAGCGGGCGGATCTGGACTCAGCGGGGTGAAAATCAGACAATCTCATACATTCGTTTTGGTTCAAAGCACATCCTTTTACTTTAAACACTTTCCTTTTTTATCCCCCCTCACATACACAAGCGCATCCCCACACACGAAACAGCAAAACAACGACACGGCTGAAAAACAGTTCTTAAAGTTCGGCAGTCAGTTCATGGACCGTCCGGCTTTATATATACAGTTCTACCACCACCTGCACGGCTCTGCAAGGCCACAAACAAATGCACGACGCCATCAACAGCTGATTAAACTCACGGCTCCGTGGATCAGTCCTCCTTTGAATGATGGATCCGGTCCCCAGCAGCTCCGTGAAGCGGTCCGTCCTCCCGTTCCAGCAACTTTAGTTATTCCAAAAGTTCAAAACGAGCAAAATCCGTATTCCACAGCAATGCAACTCCGTGAAAGCCTCCAAGTTGGCGTGTGCCGTCATTTCACAACGTGGCCCCGCGCGCGTGCACTGCACTCACCTAAATGCAGGTTCATGCGAAGCCACGCCCCCAACATACATTTGATAAACAATACCTGTGACCCAGTGAGAAAATATATTTACATGATTTCACAGACAATCATAAGGCATCGATTCACCCCTGCTGGGTGCCGATGAAGTGAGGACAGACCGGCCTTTACATCCTTTTACTCTGACCTTTGGCCCACATCTCCACAGTACTAAAGACTCAGGAGCAGAACATCCATGTTGTCTCCATAAACTCCATCATCTCTTCCAGAGCTCAGATCTCCACATCATCCCAACACAACACTTTGTTGTCAGACTGCAGCTTTACTTGTGGGTCCTGGAGTTTCCAAACACACAACGGGATAAAGATCCTTCAGTTATCAGCTCCTCTGGTGTGGAATCAGCTCCCAGTTTGGCTTCAGGAGGCAGAAAGCGTTTCCACTTTAGGATCAGGCTTCAAACTTTGCTCTTTGATGAATGTTGGAGTCGGAGCTGCTCAGGTGACCCTGAACATCTGTCAGTTATGCTGCTAAAGGCTCAGACTGCTGGGACATCTGTGGTGCATTGAAGGACAGAAAAAGACTCACAGGTAGGTTGGAAGCAGCAGGAGACAGAAACAAGAAAATACATGAAGGTGGAAGTAAAGACAAAATGGCAGGTAGGAATCCTCCACAACTGATTGGTTGTTGATCACAGGTGACTGAACACCTGGAGGTGGGACAGAAACAATGATAAGAAAAGAAATAAATCTCATCACACACAAATATTTGTAGTTTTCATGTATTGCAGCAGTTTAGTTTCAGTGCTTGTTTCTCAGGAACAACTCAATGTGTGTTTGTGCTGCAGCTCTCAGTTTCCTCCTGATGCGCCCACTTCACACATGAAACTCAGTTCACCTCCAACAAACCTTTTCTCTTTTATCACAACAAAAAAACATCACCTGAATGTGTTTCTGGAAACATTTGACTAATCAGCTGCTGAATCAGTTTTTACTTCAGATCGACAGTTTAAACGTTTTGGGGACGTTTCTAGAGGATCATCCAGAAGAGGTGAAGGTTTGTCAGAGACTTGAAGCAGCTGTGACAACACGTGTTTCCGGTTTGTGTCCTGCAGGGGGCGCTACAAGCTCACACATTGGTTTCCATGTGTGCAAAGTCAGAGAGTGAAAGTAGAAAAAGATCAGTGTTGTCAGTGTGGAGCTGAATGGAAACAAACTACAGAGCTCGTGTTCTCTGTAGGCAACAAACACTGTGGATGAATTCAAGACTCGCTGATAAAAACAACAGTTTGATCAAGTCAAAGTCAAATCAAGTCTAAAAAAAAGCTCCATAATCTCTGTTTTTAAATGTAATTTAACAATATACAGTAATAATTAAAGCAATAATGATCGTTGCACATTTCTTATCAAGATTACAAGGTGCTACACAAGTGAAGCAAGCGACACAGTGACAATAAATACACAAAATATGAGCTGATAAATACTTTTATTCATAAAAACATATTAACAAACATGTTATCAGAAGACACAGAGCAGCTAACTCAATAACACAAACTATATGTTTGTACCTAATATTCATTCATCTCCTGTGTGTCATCATCAAGTCGTCATCAACCATAAATTTTATACACAAACATCTAGATGTTTCTCTTTAATGATTCAGAAAAAAGCATCATTTACAGGCTTTGACCTTTTTTTAATCATGATTATTCTGTCAGCAAATAAACTATTTCACAAGCATTTATGAAAATATAGATTTTAGACCTTACTTACAGTTTTTGTCCTGTTTTATTTTTAAATTTTTTTTTTACAATTTACATGTAAATTGCTTCTTTTTTTCTGTTATTTCACTTGATATTTTCTGTAACTTAATAAAACAGGAAAACACTAAAACAGCTGTTTATTTATTTTTTCTGTAAATAACAGCAGATATCTACATACTGACTGAAGTTTTTTGCTGATTTAAAACAGCAGAAATAGTCTAATTTCATGATCAAATGTTTGAAAATAACAAACAGAAAATTATCTAATTATCTTTCAGTGTCTTACAAATTTAAACATGTATAAAACTTACAAAATGAGAAGAAAAAAAAACAACAACAAGAGAACACAATAAAAGTAACATCAGATAAATGTTCATCAATAGTTAGAAATTCAAGGATTCAAGGAACTTTGTCATGCCAGCTCACATTCACATGCCATGGACCGCAATAAGTCCTCAGGTCCCATTTTTTAAAAGAAAAAGCCAAATAAATAAGTACAATAAACCATAAAAACAAGAGCAGAATATAAGTAAAAATAAGCACTAAACATATGTTTATCTGGGATAAATAAAGTATTTTTCATTTCATGTGTAGCAGCGAGGGAGACTGTAATATAATATTGCACTTAGGTGTTTAAAATATTGCACATTTATGGATAAAAGTGTTTAATGGTGCTGTCCGTGTGTGATGGTGGTGTGAGGCTACAGAGCATGGCTCCAGTTCAACAGTCTGACAGCCTCGGGGAAGAAGCTGTCTCTGTGCCTGCTGGTTTCGCTCTGGGTGCTCCTGAGCTGCCTGCCTGAGGGGAGGGGCTGAAACGGTCTGTGTGCAGGATGGGTGGAGTCCTTCACCATGCGGAGAGCCCCTTCCCCTGCACCGTGATGAGTAGAGGTGTGAGGTGGTGGGAAGGCTGCTCCCTGCAGTCCTCTTTGCAGCCTTTACCACTCTCTGCAGAGCCTTCTTCTCAGCAGCTGTGCAGCTGCCATGACACACGGTGATGCAGGTGCAGAGGATGCTCTCCACCATACAATGGTAGAAGCTCCTCAGAACAGAGCTCCCAAGTCAAGCTCTCCGCAGCTTCCTGAGGAAGTAGAGGCACTGGTGGGCCTTCCTGACCAGGTGGGAAGTGTTGTTGGTGCTCCAGGTGAGGTCACTGGATATGTGCACACACAGGTATCTGAAGCTGGAGACCACTTCCACAGCTGCTCCTCTGATGTGCAGAGGAGGGGGAGGGTGCTTGTCCCTCCTGAAGTCCACCACCGTCTCCTTGGTCTTCTTCACACTGATGCAGAGGTTGTTGTCTCTGCACCACTGCACCAGGTGTTCCACCTCCTCTCTGTATTTGGACTCAAGATAAGATGGCGGTGCGCAGTGGTGCAGCAGCTTCTCCAGAACCCAGTACTAAGCCTTTAGATATTTAGATTCAACAATTAACCAGTAAAAAGACATCCGTGACAGTCAGATGTCAGGCTGCTGGATTTGTCAAAATAAAAGTCTTTGGTTACCTCTTGGAAACCAGCTTTTTTACCAGACAGATAAACAGACATTTACACAAACAGAAAACCAAATGAAGTTTAAAAATGCTGGAAAAACTAAAGTCCATCAGTTTGCACATTTCCAGTCAGCCTGTGTCCTACAGCAGCAAACCGAGCTCCTGAAACTCAGTCCTGACCTTTGCTTTTGGTTTCCTACTCAAAGATTTTCAGGCTTCTATCAGGCCGCCGCTGTGAGAAATCTGCATGAAGTGAATAATTACAACAGAGAGAACTGACAACAAGGAAACAGCTTCATGAGAATAAAATAAATCCACTCAACACTAAACCAACAACTTAAATTCCAGAACTAAGAAAGTTGATTTCTAACACTGTCAAAGTGTCCATGTCTGTAATCAATCAGCTGAAGAACAACAACGAGTTTGTCTCTAAAGTTCAGCATTAAAGCTGTTCTTCAGTGTTTCTGTACAAACTCATCAACACTTACAGCATCACAGCACTATTTAGTCCTTCAGTTAGTGATGCTCAGGTTCGTTTTCCTTGAATCCTTCTTTGTTCCCGTTGCTTCTCCATCATTTGTTCAAACTCACATTCATTTTTACATTCAAACCTCAGAGTTGACCAGACTGGACTGAAGTTCATCTGACTGAGGTTTAACACTGTTGTTCAGGTTGTAGCACTTTTCTTCAGTTGAAGGTCGTCCTGAATCTTCAGCTTTAACAGACCTGCAAATACAATAAAATCATATTTATCAAAAAAGATGAAAAGAACAGTTCCTTACTTATTGTCCTTCAGTATAAAGAGCAGAATAAAGCTTCACATCAATCATGATTCCTTCATCTGATTTTCTCTTTTATCTTCATTTCAGTCATTTTCATGTTTTCATTTCATGGATGTTGTTGAACTCTGACTGAGATCATCATCTGAGCTGATACAACAAACATGTTGTTGGAAATAACTGGTGGAAATGTTCCTGGAACATCCCAGAAAACTGACTTCATGACAACAGTTTTCTCCTTCAACATGTTCCCTCATATCCTGTAGTTCACACAGTGCAGCAGACAAGTTCAACACTAAACATCTACTTACCCAAAATTATTTCTTCACCGTTTGACCTTCTGATGTTGTTTTCTTGTTGACCTGAGAAATGTTCAGAGTCCAGAAGACATCATCAACACAAACAACATACAAGAAATTAATTCTGAAGTGAAGGAAGAACATCTTCTTACCTTTTTTCATTTTATAGAACACGAAAAGGCTGATTCCTCCTACTGCTGCTGCTATTAATGCTGCTNGGGCAGAGAGGGCCCGCCTCTCAATCCGTCTGACCAATCGCTGCTCCTATGGTTCCGCCCCCCTTTCTGACGATTTTTGCGTCACTGGCTCCAAAAATCCAAGATGTCAACCAGGAAGAAGCAAAACCCTGGCTTCATTTTCTCAGTGCAGAAACCAGCGGGATACGTCACGGTAGCTACGTCCATCTTTTATACAGTCTATGGCTGAGACCTGTCATCCTCTATATGGCGCCCGCATGAGCCAAGTGAGCGCATGGGCTGTCACACTCACCCTGCACGAAGTTCCACCCCCTCAGGACACACAGAGGCAGCTAACATCAGTCACTGCCACCGCACAGGGGCCACAGGCGGACACACGGTAAGAAGTTCAGCTCATTCAGCTGTCTCCCACCCCAGTACTACAGCCATTAATGCTGTGTTTAAAATCAGGAACGTTTATTATCAAACATTATAAAGGTGACCCCTATAAAGAAAAACAAATGTGATTAATACTGGTTAAAACTCCACTTAACTGTCCCAGCGTTATCAGAGGCAGTTGTGGCAGCCGGTCCAGCGGATTGAGACACCTCGCGTGCCTCCTGGAGAGCCTCGTGGTCAGGCCGGAGAGCGGACAAAAAGCACTCCTATCTCCCCACTATGCTGTCCCCTCAGCCCTGCCTACCACAGGAACCTCTCCCTGCCGCGCACCTGCTCACACACACTCTTTTCACACCTTGCTTCCCTTTCAGACACGCCTCTCTCCAGGTGCAACTCATCATCCCTCATCACCGGTCCAGTCCTCCCCTGCACTTTCACCCTCCCTCCACCAACACAACATATATATATAATAGTTAATTGTTATAATATTTTAATTTATTTCACTTTTCCGTGGCCCCCCAAAAATATCTGTTGTACCCCCCTGTGCCCCCCACTGNCTGTCTGTTAATCTGAGCTGCTGCAGGTCAGCTCAGACAGAAGTTCTGACGGCTTCTGAACCTGCTAAATGATCTCCTTCACCGTGTTTAAAGAAGAGTGAAAGAAACGGTGGAGGCGGTGATTTAGACGCGGCGCTTGAAGGCTTTCATCAAAGTTCTTCCCACGGCTGAAAAGAACCTGGCGACTGCACACTTCTTAGGTGTTGAACTGTTGATGGCATTCAGGTGGATTCTGAGAAACTTCACGACAGCGTCATCAAAAGACGGATCTTCTGATGCCATTGCTGCCTGCAGCAGCTTTTCTGGGGAGCCAAACTCCTTGTGAAGATCCTTCATCATGGCCTTGGATAACTTGGTCATATTTTTGCTGATTCTGGGAGCAGAGACGTCGACGTCACCCAGCGGCAGGTCCCATAGTCGATTTAGGATGGCCTGGAAGTCATCTATTGTGATGAGCTCTCTGGATTTCTTTATGGATTTTACGATCACCTTCACCAGCAGAGTGGAGATGAGGTTGGTCTCATCTTTTGGCCTTTCCGGGTAAAAATCTGACCTTTCAGCATGTTCAGGTTCAGAAGCAGCTCCGAGGTCACTATCTGCAGAAAACGAGCTTCGACAGACATCAGAGCCTCTTGTCGCCACAGTGCTTATATTCAAAAGCTGAATATCGTCATCAACAGTATCATTACTGCAGGCGGGTTCATCAGCAGCGAGGGGGTCGGTCGTATTGNCAACATGTTTGTTGTATCAGCTCAGATGATGATCTCAGTCAGAGTTCAACAACATCCATGAAATGAAAACATGAAAGTGACTGAAATGAAGATAAAAGAGAAAATCAGATGAAGGAATCATGATTGATGTGAAGCTTTATTCTGCTCTTTATGCTGAAGGACAATAAATAAGGAACTGTTTTGGTTTGTTATCATAGTTGCCCATTGATGGGCAATTATAGAGTAATCGTGCCCGTGTGTTTTTGTTTTTTTTGTCTGTTAACAGTCTAGCGCTTTACAGGAGAGGAGTTTGAACCTGAACTTTCATACATTACCTGGTATGGTCCCTTCTTAGAGTGATTAGATGTTGGGATCAATGCTTTGGTGACCTACAGAGGTCAAAGGTCGCATTTCCCAAAAACAGCTCTGTCTGACTGAAAATGCACAGAAAGACATAAATATTAGTGTAGTATTAGTACAGTAACTTAGGAAGACATTCGAGGCCTATAAACTGGTGATGTAACATATGACCTCGAGACAAGGTCAAGGTCACACTGAAGGTCTTCTATCATCACAAATTTTAAATCCATTATAACTTGGAAAAGGTAGTTTATTATTACAATCAGACAGGAACCATATTGGTGATGTGACATTTGACCTTGAATGAACGGTCAAGGTCATAAATCTTAGGAGCTTAACTGTAGGCGTACATTACAGCAAAACGCTTCCCCGCCATGCAAAACATCTGTGCTACATGACAGACTAAGCTCTTGGTACATGATGGATCATTTTAAGGCAAAACCAATGCAAGTTCATCCTTAAGTAGGCGCACAGTCAAACACAGAATCAGGTAAACATTCATACAGTGTTCAACTATGTCCCTCTATTGAGAGCTCTCTAGTCTTTATGTTTGTTTCTGGGTTTTTTGTGCTTTGTGCTAAACTTTGTTTCTTTCTATTTGCAGACGGATAAAGCTTGAAGGTAAACATGGAGGACCTGAAGAAATGTACCAAATCTTGAACAACAGCGTTAAACCTCAGTCAGATGACCTTCAGTCCAGTCTGGTCAACTCTGAGGTTTGAATGTAAAAATGAATGTAAGTTTGAACAAATGATGGAGAAGCAATGGAAACAAAGAAGGGTTCAAGGAAAACGAACCTGAGCCTCAGTAACTGAAGGACTAAATAGTGCTGTGATGCTGTAAGTGTTGATGAGTTTGTACAGAAACACTGAAGAACAGCTTTAATGCTGAACTTTAGAGACAAACTCATTGTGTTTGTTTTGTAGTGTTTATAGAAAGTCTTATGTTTTCCAATGTTTTTTCCTCATCAAGCTGTTTTCTTATGGGCCAGTTTTCTTTGTGGTAATTAATTCACTGTGCAACGTGCTTTTTCTCAGACATGTTGACAGGATCTCTGATTATAGTTTGTATCTCTCACAGGAAGCTGTAATCCTCATACAAGATGTGACTGATCACATTTTTATTTCTTTGGTTCTTTTTACTTTGACTTTTTTTTAATTCAAGTGCGTTTAATATGGCACGTATGTTTGAAGTTTTAATTGGATGCTGAAATGCATCTAACAACAGACAAAATACAAGCTTGAGCCTGCATGGTGGTTCAGTGGTCAGCACCGTCACCCGGTTTGCGTTCCGGTTAGGACGCCTGGGATCTTTCTGCGTGGAGTTTGCATGTTCTCCCCATGCAGCGTGAGTTCTCTCTGGGTTCTCCGGAGTCCTCCCAAAGTCCAAAAACATGCTGCTCTGAATTCTGTTGTGGTAGTTGTTGTGTAGTCCTGTGATAGACTGGCGACCTGTCCAGGGTGTCCTCGGCCTTCGCCCTGAGTTGACTGGGATTGGCTCCAGCTCCCCCATGACCTAAGTGAGTTATAAGCATTGTATAGCTAATGGAAGATGAAGTTTTTTACTTGTTTTTGGCGGATTTGATTTGATTTTTCATCTTAGGTCGAAACATTTCTGTCACATCCATTTATTTGTGTTTGTTTATTCAGTGATTTTTGGTGCAATACATGTTTGTAGTGCGGGCAGCACTGGCAGCTTCCAGTGGAAGTGCATCTTACTGCCAAGTCAATGAGTCCAGGTGTGCATGATCTGAGGGAAAAAGTTTTTTGACCTCAAAGTAGAGACGCAAAGTAGAAGCATAATGCATAGGAGTGATGTAGAGGTAACTGCAAATGGGAGCAGTAGGTATTAATAGTCTACTTAATTGTCATATCTTGCTTATTTGTGGCGGCAATAAAGAAACAAAACAACTGGAAACATCTGGACATCACAGTGGAAATCCATTTTTATTGTTTTAAACTTAGCTTAAGTTTACTTGTTTGTGGCGTGTTTGATTTGATTTTTTATTTTAGGTCAAAACATATCGAGTGTCTGTTTTAAGTTTTAATTTGAAACATATCTGACAATAAAAGAAAATGCAAACAAATCACAATTATTGTGTTATTGTTTTAAACGTGGCCTCTAAATTTGAGTTTTTCTCTTTGTTTAAGTTTTAACTTGAAGTTGAAACGTATCTGACAGCAGAAGAAGAAAACGCAAACAAANACTTTTAATGTCTCACTTTCATGCCGTCAGTCAGATAAAATCAAGTCTGAACAAGTTCAATGACTGACATCAATCCTTAGTATAAATACTTTTAGAACAAACACATTTCTTCGATGTTCACGTGGTTGTTATTGTGAATTCCTCCCTCAGAGTTCTACTTTAGCGTCCTGAGGAGTCTAAGGGAGAACATTTGGAGAAAACCACCTTCATTGTGCTGTGATGACATGTTGGTGCTCTGTTGTGCCACAGCTCATGATAACTAATGGGTTCTTGTTTTTTATGACCACAACAGCACTTTGTTATGCTTTTTTTAAAAACAGACTGAAATCCTTACTTTTTTTTTTTTTTTCAAATGATGGTAACTATCTGTAAAATAATGTCTTGCTGATGTAAAAGCAGTAGGAATAGAGCCATTTTGCTGTCAAACATTGTAAAAGAACAAAGCAGCATTTGTAAGGATGCAGACTAACTATTAATGTGCACATTATTATCTGTAATAGAACAAAACAGAGAAAAACTGGAAGATACCAGGAAATTGTCAAAAAGTCATCGTTAAAAACATTTTCTTTTACAGTCATTGAGTTGTTGCAGGACTGATCCTCTGTGTCTCTTTACCTGATGTTGCAGATACTGAGGTGTCCTGTGCTTTTATGGAGAGATGCATCTTACCGTGCAGCTTCCAGGTCGCTCCTCATGTCGTCATCCACTGGACTCATTTGACAACAGGACGTCGTGTCCACTCGTACTACGACAACCAAGACCAGCTTGGACATCAGGATCAGCTCTACAGAAACAGAACATCACTGTTCA